TTTTTCGCCTGACCCCATCAGTGCCGACCCAACTACACCACCACGCGCATGCCTCGCGGCGGATATGCGCAGCAGCAAGAAGGTTTCGGTCATCCCTTGAGGGTGAGTCTAGCCCTGCTCGCCAGAAAGACCCCCCCCTTCACTACAACCCATCCATGTCTAAGCAAAAGCTTGTCGAGGAGCGAAGGGAAGAAGGGAGAGTGTGGAGGAGGTTGACCTCACTACATTCCGCTCGTCAGTTGCGGACTGTTGTCGGTGTGTGGCTCCCTCGGTCCTTTACTCAAACACAACACACAAGAGCTGCCAAAAAATGGTGGTATTCTGTTGGTTTGTTGTTGTTGTTGTTGTTGGTTCTCACATTAGTTCTAATAGTCCACAAAGAATGGGGAGCCCGTGGTCTCAAAACCCGGCACATGCGACGCCGCGAGAAAACAAAAAAATGGTACAAACCACTCGGAAAAAGAAAGCAAAATGATATAAAGAAAAGAACAGGTATCGCACCGACCGTTCGAGGAAAGGGCCCTCGGAAACCGATAAAAAATATAATAAAATAAAGGAAGACGCTTCCCACGCCCGCCCAAAGAAAAAATCAAAGGGTAACGTACCAGCACCAGGCACTACGCACCAGGGCATGAGAGTAACGGAGCAAACAGGACAAAGAGGCGGCAGATGGGCAGACAGCCAGACGTACAAAAACAAGGCAACATCAAAGCGAGATCAAGGTACCCAACACAGCAGAGTCAGAGTAGGCAGGGAGTAATGAAAAAAAGAAACACAGCACAGAGCCCGAAGGCAATACAAAGGACATACATAAAGGAGTATAGCATACAGCAGGGAGGGAAATAGGGCGCAACAACATCAGCCGGGTACATAATTCGCCACAAATGCTGCCTCGGCCGCCCTACTCGCTTCTACAACAGTGCCCGGTCGCCGTTCCTTCCCCCCCACCGCCGCTTCCCCGGCCCTCTTTCTCTTCGGTCCTGAGATGGTCGTATTCCCTGCTTCTGCTTCCCTCGCGCGCTGGCGCTTCGCGGACGCTTCCGCCTCCTGCCTGTGCCATTTCCTCATGAACCATGCCGCCCCGTCCTCGACCTTGTTGTACCACACCTCCGGGTCCTTGGCGCTCGCTTTCCATGTCCCCCATTCCTTTTCGTCTCACATGTTGAAGGCCACGAGGTCCTCTCCTAGAC